AGCCCCTCCTCTGGGGCTGCGCTCCCCCGCGGGAACGACCCCCCCGGGGAGTTCGTTCCAGAGGGTCAGAGCAGCCACAGAGAAGGCTCTCCTCCGGATAGTCGCCAGTCGACACTGGCCGGCGGATGGAATTCGGAGGAGGCCTAATCTGTGGGATCTGATCGGTTTAGTGGAGGTGATTGGCAGCAGGCGGTCTCTCAAGTACAACATTAAATGCTGCAATAAATATTTCTTCTACTGGAGATTGGACTTCATCCCCTAAATAATCACTTCCAAACCTATGATTCTATATGGTGGAAAAATGATTACATTCTCACGGGTATGATGTACCACCTCCAATTACAGGAGAGCATAAAACAAACAGTTTATGCTACATTATAAAATTATGTAGCAATGTAAAATTTCCAATGTTTCCCTGCATAATTAAATTCAAAAGAAGTTACTAAATTAGGAAATATGTATAGTCAGAGAGATTGCAAGGGGCTAAGCCTCATGTTTTGTATTCAGGAAATTAATATTTTACATTATCTTTATAAATACATTATTTTAATATTATTGCATGTTTATTATAAACTCCAAGGTTAAGTTTCCTGTGTAAACTCTCATCTAGATACTTATCATGAACCCAAACTAACTTTCTTTCGGGTTTCCTGTTGTATTTACTATCTTCAGACCATTGTTTTCTATCAAGACATGCATGATCATGTTATTAAAATGGCAATTACTCAGGCTATAATTCTGAAGCCAAAATGCAGAATTTTTCTGCACATGTCTTTTTCAGGCCAAGACACCTCTCCAACATAGTGCATTTTATCTGTGCGTTTAACAATATTTCTAATTATTCTCCTTAGGATATACTATACCTGTATGTATTTGTGTTCTCCTAGTCCAGCAGGTACTTTGGCCAAATCATTGTTGTCTAAATGGAGTTCTCTCAAATGTGGCACATTGGTTAAAGATCCATTTTCCACACTAGCAATGCGATTGTAACTGAGGCCAAGCCTATAAGGAGAAAAACATTGTGCCAACTATGCTGAAGTAAAAGTTTGTTTCTGCATGTTCATTAAACATAATTTAACACCTTGATTTCTTGTGATTTTATTTGTATTCTATGGAGTTTTAACTATGCTGCAAGCTGGCAGGTGCAATTCCACAGAAGTCAGATGCCCTGTATAGAGTTTAAAGATTTATGAAAGCCCCAGCAAAAGGAAGACATTTTTAAAAACTAATGCTTTACAGCAGGTAGAATATATGTGTATGATCCCAGAGTAGGCATAGACATAATATTTTGACTGTCATTGAGTGAAAATTTTAATAGATAAAGCAAACTTTTTAAACCTTACAGAAACCCCAATAGCATCACTTAGGACCCCATATTTTGGGGTGTTCTGTTTTTATATATTCAAGCATATAGTTGTTCTAATGATGTGAAATTTTACCCCTTAAATCTTTTCACACCAGTTTTTAAAGTATTCAGTTTTTGAATTTTAATCTACCTTGATAAAGTTATTAAAATAATGAAGGATAACTGTTCAAGATTAGAAAAACTAGTTGATGTGAAAAACTAGTTAGTATAACTAGTTAAAACTAGTATTTTAAAATGTCTGTTTTCTATAGTAGCTTTAATATTGATATTCTTCTATATTTCTAATTTTCTCTGCAAACACGTCAGGCATGATCAAAACTAAAAGATCTCACTGTTACAGAGTTAAATCTGCCTTAATATATTTATATATATATATATATTAAAAAATCATACTTAGCCAAATTGGGAAGTTCACTTAAACTATCTGCATCAATTTTGCTGATTTTGTTGCCATCAAGATGAAGTTCTGTCAGAGATACAGGAAGACCTAAAATTTTAAAAAAATGTGTTTATGTATATATGTTGCATACAATTGCACAATTCCTAGGAAGATTACTTTTTTTAATTTATGTATCACATGACACTGATGAAAAACAGTTTTGCAGTTTAACTAACAGCATTTTTTTTACTGTTGGCATTGAGTCATTCTGGATCTCTTATATATAAATTACTCTTAAGCTCATTTGCCAGTTTTTATGATAATACAGTCATGCAACAAGAAAGACCTACTGAAATTCAATTACCCTTCTCATTTAAATCATCTTGAAAAATTATAGTCAGACGTATTAGTGATTTTTGGATTAATGGTTCACCATGTCTTTACTGCAATTAACATACACTCCTGTTCAGATATGAAAGGATTCTTCCATGCTTTCTATTGTTTAAGAAGAGTGAATTTTGGAAAGTATTTCATCAATCTTGCTAGAATGCTTAATTAGTTTGATGTGTCAGGTCTTACATACCAAGTGAGGAATCAACATATGGAGCTACAGAAGTATAAATCATCTTGATAAACACTGAACACTGAATACTATCAATATAAGGACAAGATTGTGAGATTGATGTGCTGAAGGTGTATTTTGCTTCCGTCTAGCTCATAATTATTTGTATTGTTCCAACTCTGCCACAAGCATTCAGATTAGTTTCCTACATCTAAATGTGTATGTGGGTTATATAATACTGAACTGGTGCAGTCCTGCTTCTTGAGATTTGTTAGCAAGAGACTGAAATTGGAATATCATTCCTCTCCCAATAAGCTGAAAGAAAGGCTAAACGTTTTGACTCTTACAGTAACACATCCATTTAATAAATAATTCTGTAAGAAAGACTTGAAAACTAATTTAGCCACTTTCTTTTCCTTTGTTCCATTTGAAATTGGACCTGCAACTAATGTATTCATAACAAATACACATAGACTAGAAATGTATATACTAAAAAGATTCTGAGAAGTTGTAAAGAAGCTATGTTTTTATTGCGTACATCTCTCCTGTGGAATTCCCGTCTGTCCGCTGAAGTACTCTATTTAATAGGCATTCTTTGCATCTATGTATTCCTTTATCTGATTTATTTATTAAATTTATTTATTAAATATATTTATATGCCGCCCAATCCCGAAGGACTCCGAGGGGCTGATGCCATAGTGCAGTGGTTCTCAACCTTCCCAATGCCCGGACCCTTTAATGCAGTTCTTCATGTTGTGGTGACCCCCAACCATAAAATTATTTTTCTTGCTACTTCATAACTGTAATTTCACTATTGTTATGAATAGTAATGTAAATATCTGATATGCAGTATGTATTACATTATTACAAATTGAACATAATTAAAGCATAGTGATTAATCTGCCAATCTTGGTTTGGGAGAAGATCAGCCAGGTTGGGATTTTCCAGGATAAAATGACCACCCTGCCTGCCTCCAGCAGCAATTCGTGGTTTACACGAGTTTCACTTTATTAAGTTAACTTTTTTTTACATTCCGTTT